GCTGGGCCAGGGGCAGCCCCACCACGTCGATGGCCTGATTGGGAGGTGAAGGGGGGAGGGTGGGAAGGGGGAGGCAACGAGTAAGGGGGCTGGGGGAATGGCGTTGGAGGGTGCCTGGGGCAAGTGATGCAGGGAAGGCATCCAGCTGGCCCAGGGGCAGCCCCACAACGTCTATGGCCTGATGGGGGGGTTAAGGGGGAGGGGGGGGGGGGGGGAAGGGAGGTGATGCAAGTGATTGGGGGGGGAAGGTCGTGATGTGGCAAGCGACGCAAGAAAGGCGAACAGCTGAGAGAGGGGCAGCCCCACCACGTGTATGGCCTGATGGGGGGGTGGAGGGGGGAGGGGGGAGGATACGACAGAGGGTACTGTACTGGGAGTGTGGCGTTGGAGGATCCCTGCCTGGGGCAAGTGATGCAGGGGAAGGCGTCCAGCTGGGCCAGGGGGGAGCCCCACCACGTCGATGGGGCGGGGGGGAGGAGGGGGAGGGGAGGCAGTGAAAGGGGTTATGACCATAATAAAACTCGCTAAACAAGGGTGAAAGGGGCGGGGATGCGCTGGCAGAGGGCAGATTCGCTTTTGATTCGACTCAAGAGGTCAGAGGAGTGAGTGAGCAGGAGAACGGGTGAGAGAGGGCGATGGGGCAGCAAGGACAGCGAACAGCGCAGTTGCATTCGTGCTAAAGCCCTACCATACCCCTCCCCCTCCCCTGACCGCCTCTCACCTCGCCCTCGTCCTCCTTGCCTCCCCCAGCGTGAATCCTCTGACCCTCGTTCACCTGCCAGCACCACAGCATGCAACATGCAGCACAGGCAGCACAGGCAGCACAGGCAGCACAGGCAGCACAGGCAGCACAGGCAGCACAGGCAGCACAGGCAGCACAGGCAGCAAGGAGTGAGCAACACTGGCCTCCAGGCACTGCATGGGCCGTGGAGGGAAAAGGCTGTTGGGCCCGGCATTCAAGCCGCAGCTGGCCTGCGCGTAAAAGAGCGTTTGCCTTATAGAGAGCGGCGTGTGCAGAATAGAGGAGCGTGTCGCCAACCTGCGCGTAGAACAGCGTCTGCCTGGCCCACGGACGTGAGGGCCGCCATCCCCACATGCAGGGGCCCTGAGGCACCACATGCAGGGGCCCTGAGGCACCACATGCAGGGGCCCTGAGGCACCACATGCAGGGGCCCTGAGGCACCACATGCAGGGGCCCTGAGGCACCACATGCAGGGGCCCTGAGGCACCACATGCAGGGGCCCTGAGGCACCACATGCAGGGGCCCTGAGGCACCACATGCAGGGGCCCTGAGGCACCACATGCAGGGGCCCCTGAGGCACCACATGCAGGGGCCCTGAGGCACCACATGCAGGGGCCCTGAGGCACCACATGCAGGGGCCCTGAGGCACCACATGCAGGGGCCCTGAGGCACCACATGCAGGGGCCCTGAGGCACCACATGCAGGGGCCCTGAGGCACCACATGCAGGGGCCCACATTCCACCATACTAGGTGCGCACGTGCAGCCTGGCAGCACGCAGCGCTCACCTGCGCGTAGAACAGCGTCTGCTTGGCGCCTGATATCCCCACGGACGTGAGAGCGGCCGTCACCACTTGCAGGGAGTCCAAGGGCACGTCGTACCCCGTCTCCTCTGCTATCTCCTCCTGGGGGGTGGGGGGTGGTGTGATGTGGTGTGTGGTGTATGATACACATGCTTCAAGGCGCCCCAACACAAGATGACAAAGGTACAACGTACCCCGTGACCCCGTCTCCTCCGCTACTTCATGTAAAAAAGGGCGATAGGCCACATAGCGGTGATACCTATCGTCTGCATCACATAACGGTGTTACCTATCGTCTGCATCACATAACGGTGTTACCTATCGTCTGCATCACAGTGACAGGGGGGGCTCGCTCCTCCTCTCCTCATACCTCCCATATGCGCTGCCCCTTCCCTCACCTCTCCCAGCTCTCCTCGCCCATCCCATCCTTCCCGCGCTAACCCTCCCCCCTGCCCCTCCCCCTCTCACCTTGGCGATTTGCCGGAGGTCTTTGCCCGGCTTGTCCACCAGCCCTGGGTGCGCAGAGAGGCGCAGGGCAGGGCAGTAGAGTATATTTTGAGGCGCCTCAAAAGCAGGGCAGTAGAGGCGAGGAACAGAATGAGGGCTTTGCAAGGGTGCCGGCCGGCACGCGAATAGGGGGAATGGATGGGGAGCAACCGGAGTGGGATAAGGGAGATGGGGAGGAGGGGAGAGGGGGGGGGGGGGGGGGAAGGCATAATGGCTCAGGGAAAGCATAGTGGCCCAGGAAACCATAGTGACATCGTGGCTCATGGGATATGTGGGCGTGGGATATGTGGGCATTGGGTTCGGTTGGTCTTGGGATCGGTTGACCTTGGAGTTGGTTGACCTTGGAGTTGGTTGGGCTTGGAGTTGGTTGGGCTTGGAGTTGGTTGGGCTTGGAGTTGGTTGGGCTTGGAGTTGGTTGACCTTGGAGTTGGTTGAGCTTGGAGTCGGTTGGGCATGGGACTGGTTGGGTTTGGACCGGTTGGGCTGGGGATTGGTTGGGCTGAAGTTTGGTTGGTCTTGGGATCGGCTGGGCTTGGGATTGGTTGGGCGCAGGATCAGTTGGGTGTGAGATGGGTTGGGTTGGGTTTGGAATCAACAGGGCTTGGGATAGGTTGGGCGCAGGATCGGTTGGCTGTGGGTTTGGTTGGGCTTGCCTTGGGATCGGTTGGGCTTGAGATTGGTTGTCCGAGGGATTGGTTGGGATTGGGATTGGGATCGGGAATGTCCCCCGGAAAGCATAGAGTCTCGGGAAAGCATTGTGTCCCGGAAAAGCTTAGAGTCGTGTCCCGGAAAAGCTTAGATTCGTGTCCCGGGGAAGCATAGTGTCCTGGGAAAGCGCGAAATGCCATGACACATGCGCTCTCACCTGCGCACAGCTCTCACCTGCGCACAGCTCTCACCTGCGCACAGCTCGTAGGTGAAGGCGGCATCAAGGTCCCCTGTTAACTGCACGCCCTCCTCTCCCCCCCTTATGTCCGCCCCTGTTGCCGCTGCCACTGCTGCGAGCACTGTGGGGCGGAACTGACGCACCTGCCAGGGGAAAGATTGGGGGGCGAGACACAGGGGGGAGTGATTGGCACAGGACGCATGTGTGGTATGCCATGAGCACAGCGTTGCGGAAATGGCACGTACCATGTTGAGGAGGTTGAGCTCTGAGTCAACTCAAGAGGGAGGGTGGTGGCACAGAGTGCATGTATGGCGCGTGGCATGCCATGAGCACACCACAGCGGTCTGGGAATCAAGGTGATTCTTGAGTCGACTCAAAAGTTGAATCGCCTCAAAAGTCGAATCGCACGCACCATGATGAGCAGGTGGAGCTCTGCCCGTTGCAGCATCGACGCATGCGATTCCCACCATAGCCGGTCAAGTGCGAGCATTGGCCATGGGGCGGCCGGTCATGGGGAAAGGAGGGAAGGGGAGTCGCAGAGGGATGGATGGATGCGAGAGGTGGAACAGGCAGAAGAGATGTAGGGTGAATAGATACAGGACGCAGCTGGTGAGGAGGTGGCATGTCCTCAGGAAAAGTCAGCAAAATGACTTTGTCGCGTGCATGCATGCAGCAGAATGACGCACGTTGAAAACTAAAACATATGACTCGGTTGGCGCCATGGTGTGCACCTGTGTGGAAGAGCAGCACAGCGACGGACGGATGAGATTGCACCATGTCCCATCGACGGTCCTGATGCAATGCAGCCAACAAGGGGGAAAGGGGAGTTCAGATCAGCCCAGGCAGCTCAGCAGCGGCGCGAGGAAGGAGTGAGTCGGACGGCCACACCGTGCATCGCTTCTCTAGTAGCTTACAGGGTACTAGTGCGCTGTGCACCACCCTAAGTACCTTGCCGTGCTGCTTGTATCGAATGCTTTGCGGTCGGATGTATCGAGAAGGACCCTCCAGAGGCACCACCCGCAGCTGCAAGGGGTGAACCAGCCATGCACCATGCACCATGCACCATGCACCATGCACCATGCACCATGCACCATGCACCATGCACCATGCACCATGCATCATGCATCATGCATGCACGTGTGTAGGGAGAGGGAAGAGGAAGGGGGGTGACAGGGGAAGGGGAAAGGGGAAAGGGGAAAGGGGAAAGGGGAAAGGTGAAAGGTGAAAGGGGAAAGGTGAAAGGGGAAAGGGTGGGGAATGAGCACGAGGCAGCAAGGAGAGGCGTTTAATGGCTCAACGGCTCACACGATCACAGTCAACACACTCTCCCCCCCTTCACCCTGTGGCCACCCATCCCCCCTCATCGCCATTCTCCCCCCCCTTCCCCTCTGTCTTCCCCTCCCCTTTCCCCCTCTCTCCCCCCACGCACATCTTGGATGGCGGCCTTCCGCTGCGCCAACCCCTGCCCCATCAGCTCCACGAACTGCACTGCGGGGGGGAAGAGGGGGAAGGCGGGGGGAGATTGGGGGGGGGAGGGGGAGAAGAGGGCGACGACGCGACGTGGAGAGAATGATGCGGTGGAGGGCGGAGGGTCGGAGGGGCGGAGGGTCGGAGGGGCGGAGGGTCGGAGGGTCGGAGGGGGTTGACGCGCAATTATCCTGGTGAACGAGGTCGTTGTCCCAACCACGCTGATTAGCTGTCCGCGACTCACTGCCGCCTATCCGATCGCCGGCTGTCCCGCCAACATCCTGTCCGTCAAACAACGACCGACTTTGAAACGGCCGACAGAGAAACGAGCGTCAGAGAAACGGCCGCAAGACAAACAGTTGTCAGCAGCGGCTTGCCTTTTGACGGTGCTGTTGCGGCGACGGACGCCATCGCCACGCTCCGCACCTCGCGGCGAATGGAGGACAGACACGTGGCGCGTGGCGAGAGAAAGCGCGAGAGCAGCATTGATGCCCCCACGGGCGCGCAGAAAGTCATGGGGTGAGGCGGCGGTATGGTGGTGGCGAGGATCGACTCAAGGCTCCATAAAAATTAACCTCATATTAGCTGACTCGCCAGTGATTTTCATCAATGTCCGCTCTATCATATATGTACAAAACAAACATACACAAAGTCTCACTGAATAGCGATCGCTCTATCCACACACCCCTAAGCATCCACAGTACACCCTTTTGACTTTTCTCCTGTCATCAAACCAGCTGGAAAACAGCTCATTCATAACATTCTAAGCGGCACTCTTATCGGTGGGTGGGAAAATAGCAATCTCAGAGGGGTCGCGACGAGCCTTGTAGAACTTATCCTCAAGCGCCTCATCGACATTGAAGGCTGCCACAAGGACATCCTTGGGAATGCCCTTGAACACGGATGTAATACCCGCTAGGAACGATGGCGGGGAGATAGGGCGGTTGGCAATTGCAATCCACATCATTCCCTCCGCAGACGCCTCCTGGTGTGGCATGGGGAGGGGGGCATAGAAAATAGAGGGGAGTGAACGGAAGGACACATGGGAGGGAGCTGAAGTTTCAATGCTGGGTGTGAAATGGAGGGAGACTGGTGGAGGAAGATAAGGCATGGCAATGGAGAAGCAGCAAGAAGCTGGATGGGAGGTCACAGTGGGGGCACATGGTGAGAGGGGAGAGGTGAGGGGGGGGGGGGGGGTGGAAAGGGAGAAGGGAGAAGGGGGAAGGGGGAAGGGGGAAGGGGGAAGGGGGAAGGGAGAAGGGGGAAAGGCACGTACCATGGAGGAGGGGAAGAGTGCCAGCACGGCAATGACCTCTCCCGTATGCACGTCGCCGTGCAGAGCGGTTCAGAAACGAGAAGGCACGTACCATGGAGGAGGGGAAGAGCGCAGGCACAGCGATGACATCTCCCGTGTGCACATCGCGGTGCAGAGCGGTGCGGCCGTCGGGATACACCACCTCAATGCGGCCACTGCCCGCCAGCACCACATGCAGGATGGCCGCGTTGGGGTACCAGTGGGGGGCCAGCAGGGCGTTGGGCTGGAGGGATGGGGAAGGGGTTGAGGCATGGCATCAGCATGGAGCACAGGGCATGGCGCCAAGGCATGGAGCACAGGGCATGGCGCCAAGGCATGGAGCACAGGGCATGGCGCCAAGGCATGGAGCACAGGGCATGGCGCCAAGGCATGGAGCACAGGGCATGGCGCCAAGGCATGGAGCACAGGGCATGGCGCCAAGGCATGGAGCACAGGGCATGGCGCCAAGGCATGGAGCACAGGGCATGGCGCCAAGGCATGGAGCACAGGGATGGAACCGACATGGGAAATCACTATTCACCAAGCTACTCGCCAGTACAATGGCAGCAATAGCAAGTGCTGCTTGCAAGGGGAAAGGTGGGGAAGAGAAGAGCAAAGGCAGAGGCAGAGAGCCCACCTGCAGGTGGTAGAGGAAGGCAGACAGCCCAACGTGGTGCAGCACGGGCAGCTTGGAGCGGTCCACAGCGAAGATATCACCTCCCTTGGGCACCGCCATGTCAGGTGACGCCTGAGACAGGCTGTACTTGAAGCGGGTGAAGGGCGAGATGTCCCCCATGCGCATGTGCGCGAGCGCGTTGGGGTCCATCGCCTCCTCCGTGCCTGAAGCCTCGTCCTCTCCTGCCATCATCGCCTGCAGCTCCCCTGTGAGGCGCCGGGCGTTGTGCTGCGGTGGGGAGGGCAGAGGAGGGCAGAGGAGGGCAGAGGAGGGCAGACGGACAAGGAACACACACATGGTCCGTGCAAACGAGCGAGCGCTATCATCTGGACTGAGAGCACCTTCCCACATCCCCCCACCAGGCATCCCCAAATTTTGGGAAACGTCTGCAGCACCCAGAGTAGGAAGACTCAGATGCCCCACGGCACACTCAGATGCCCCACGGCACACTCAGATGCCCCACGGCACACTCACACGGCCCACAGCAACAAGCCCCACGTGCCTCTGCCCCACCACCACACGCCTCACTTCCTCACGTGACCCGACATACATGCATACATGCATGCATACATACTACATACATACACCACACCACCCAGAGCAACTATTACTCACATGCCCCACAGCTACGAACCCCACATGCTTCTGCCCCGCCACCACGCGCCTTGCTTCCTCCTCCTCCACATCCCACGCCCTCGCCAGGAGATCAGCGCTGCGAGGGGAGAGTAGAGAGAGGGGAACGTGCGGATGGAGAGGAGGAGGAGGAGAGAGAATGAGAGGCGAGGGGCGAGGGGAGGTGCGCGATGAGGGGAGACCAAGGGGAGACACGGCCGCAGAAAGAGGAGGGAGAGAAAAAGAGCTCTTCAACTGATGGCAGTGTGCCGCCCACCTGAAGCCATGCAGCAGCACACCCCCCAGCATCTCGCGCGGGCAGCTCATAAACGCGTGCACCTTGCCGGGCTGCTCTAACAACAGACGCAGAATGTTTCCCACCTGGAGCCCACCTGAAAACACCTGGAGCCCACCTGAAAAAACCTGGAACCCACCTGAAAACACCTGGAGCCCACCTGAAAACACCTGGAGCCCACCTGGAAACACCTGGAGCCCACCTGAAAACACCTGGAGCCCACCTGAAAACACCTTGAGCTCACGTGAAGCCCACCTGAAGCCCACCTGAAGCCGTGCAGAATGCCCCCCAGCGTCTCGTGCGGCCCTCCCATAAGGGTGAACGCATGCACCTCCCCTGGCTGTGCTGTGCCGCGCGTGTCGGAGAACAGTAGGGCTTTAAGAGGCTCCGACCCGTTGTTCCACGCCCAGCTGGCCCAGCCCCGGGGGATGGCCACGATGTCACCGTCCTGGACGTATCTGGAGACGAGGGAGGGACGGAGGAAGAGAAGCAGGATTGGGCACAAAAGTTGGGAGAGTTGAAGAGCAAAAAGCGGCAGAACGGAGTGAGAAGGACAAGCTGACGCATTAAATGCTCGCTACGCTAACGCGCTGGTTGCTGGTGAGACCTGAGCGGAGCGGGAACCCCAAGAGGGGAGAGAAGCCCCATAAAGGCGCAGCCGTGCGTGATGAAGGAGAGCTGCGGCGCGTCGTTGTACTCGGGCAGGGCCAAAGAGAAAGGCGCGATCGTCATGGCGGCCGCATTCATGTCCGCGTCCTGGTGGGGGAGAGCACGGGGGAAGAGGAGGAAGAGAGGAGGGGGGGGAGGGGGGGGGGGGGTGGTTTGACGCGGATACTGCGACGCGGGTGAGGCATATCAAGGCAGTAGCAGCAGAGAGCTTACTGCCAGACCCAGCACGGAGAGATTGGATGGTGCCAGCAGAGCACAGCGCGCACCTTAAAGAACTCGAACTCGCGGCTCCACACGGACAGCGAGCCGCCCTCCGTTTTTATCACGTCTTCCGGTGCGGGCGGCAGGAACTCCGCCTCAGACGCCCACGCGCCCAGCAGCAGCGGCGCGAGGAGAGCGACGCAGGCGAGCACGCGCCACGCCATAGTAGCAAGCAACACGGACTCGCAGGGGCACGCGATTGTGAGGGAGGCCACGAGGCGAGACGAGCGGCGAAGGAGGGTCAAGGGAAGGCCGCAGATGAGCGGACGAACGGCGAGGGGAGCAGAGCGACGCGCACGAGAAATAGGGGAGAGACGGGAGAGAGAGAGGGAGCGATGACGAGGGAAGAAGGCGGCAAGACGCAAATAGATGCGAGGAGAGACGAGAGACGAGAGAGGTGTCTGCGGGTGAGGCGCGCGTCGGGAGGATGGTCGCCGTTCCTATCCCACCATTCGATATTATTCCGAGCGTCGTTCATATCCGGCGCGTGGCGCGGAAAATAAAGCGGTTCCAGCCTCGTGCTAACGCGCATGGAGGCAGTTGCACATGAAGCAGCTGCACCGCTGGCTGCTCGTATGACACCTCGTGGAAGCAAACTAGGGACATGCGATGGCTGCTGCATGCAACAAACTAGTGATGGCTGATCGGCGAAGTCACAGGAAAGGGTGCATCAGAGAAGTTCCTTGGGATTCTCCGAAGTGATGCGAGCTGCACTGTTCCCGCCAGGAGTGAATTCGAAACACGGAAAAAAACGGGAGATACATGTTGCATAAATTAGAAAAGGCGTACAGAAATACAATCAAAAAGGGCTAAATAAGAGGTTGTACATGCAATGACACAATGGCAATCGGGCCCCACAAGTGAGATGCAGGTCGAATGTAGAAGCGCCTCATAATCAGACCTGCTTTTTGCTAGTCATGTCACATCTGCTGGTGGTGGTGGACTAGCATGTCGTATTAGTAGTCGGCCCATCGGGTTGTGCGATTCAGCACCTAGCCCCATGACATGTGTAGAGCCATGGATGCATGGAGGAAGGCGCGAGAGAGGTGGTGGAGCATGGAGCGGGCGTGGGTCATGGCAGCACGCATGGCGGCCAGAGCATGTGAGAGCATTGACAGTAGCGAAAACCGTACGACATGGGGCTCATGCCCAATGCCAGCGCCGCCGACAATGCTGTTGCTGCTGACCCCGATGCTGGTGCTACAGCTGCTGCTGATCCCAATGCTGGTGCTACAGCTGCTGGTGTTGCAAACACTGCCAGCATCAGCACCAGTGGCATCACGCCCATCAGGTCCCATCTGCCAGGACGAGCCAGCAGCCAGGTCACCCTCCACCTCCACTGCACTCACAGGCCGTTGCACCGCATGCTCCGCCAATGAGTGGGGGGCAGCTGGCGTTGGGGTGAACGAGGGAGGCGGTGCAGCAGCCATCCGCGAAGCTGCGCTGAGGGGCAACATGGAGGCGGAGGGGTCAGAGAGGCCAGAGGGTGAGGAGGAGGTGGCGGTGGAGTGGAGAGGGGAGGAGAACGGAGAGTGTGAGGGTGAGGGTGAGGAGGAGAAAGGCAGCTTGGATGGTGGAATAACAGGCTGATGCTGCTGTGGCCCTACTGCTGAATCTTGACACTCCTCCGATTTTCCAGCTGCTGCTGCCGATGAGGATAATGATGGTGATGACGAGGATGAGGTGAAACCAGTGCTTATACAGGAGCGTGGAACATCACGAGTGCTTATACTGGGAAGTAGAATGCCCCCTGTGCTCCTTTGCCCCGCGTGTGACACTGCTGCAGCAGTGAGAGCCTTGTTGGTCTTGACTAGCTTGCGACCTGGGTGCGGGACCAGACCACCACCCCTCTCAGTCCCGCATGCCTTGCCTAGAGGGGTCACGCCTCTGGCTGCCAGCATCCTCTTATCCTTCGCCCCCTCTGCTGTCTCCTCCAACGCACCACTCTCAACACCCCCACCGCGCTTCATATCACCACCCTGCCTGCTCCCCTTCTTCTCACGCCCACTCCCCTTCCTCCGCACTCTACCTTGCTCCAGCCCCCCTGCACCATTCCTGGCACCATCCCTGGCACCTGCCACACTGTCAGCTCCGCCCTTCTCCTCCCCACCTTCTGTCTCCCTCTCCGCCTTGCCCCTCTCCAGTCTCTTCGCTCCTGCCCTGCTCCCTTCCATCCCCACCTCCCCACTGCCTGCAGAGACAACCTTCCACGCACTCTTCTTCTGCCTATCTGAACCCCCTTCCTTGCCATCTCCCCTCTCCGACCCCTTAACTGTGCCCCTATTGCGCTCTCTCCTTCTCACACTCCCTGCCTGCACTGCACCCCCAGTGGCTGCCTCACCACCACCCACGGTGTTTCTTCCCTCCACTCCCCCCCACCTCTCCTTCCCCCTCTTCTTCTCCGCCTTCTCACTCTCTCCCGTCCCTCCACTGCCCTCCGCCACTCTCCTCCTTGCCTTACCCTTAACCTTCCGCGCCACACCCCCTCGCCCTTTTGCTTCCCCCGTCTCACCACCGCCACCAGAAAACAGGCCTCCTTCCAGCAAGGCCTCTCTGTCGCCACCCATACCAGAAGCAAGAGAAGGGTCCCACGGCTCATCCAAGTAACGGCCCTGGTCCCACCCCGAGAGGGGGAAACTCGCACTCCTCTCCCACCCCTCCCACTCGCCCCTCCCCCCTCCCTCCCGCACCCCACTGCCCTCCCACTCCTCCTGACACCACGCCACCGCTGCAGCCGCTGCCACAGCTGCCGTGCTCTCCCTGCCCTCGTTGCAGGGGAAGCCCGGGAAGAGCGAGGAAGGGCCGCGGTAGGAGGGCCAGTCGGTGTAGGATCGGAAGAGGGAGGCATGGGGCAATGGGTCGACTTGGGGGGATGAGTGCATGTGGGGGGATGAGTGCAGGTGGGGAGACGAGTGCAGGTGGGGCGACGAGTGCAGGTGGGGGGAGGAGCGCAGGAGGGGCGATGAATGCATGCGCGTGTGGTGGCGGTGGCACAGCATGGCATGCGGCGAGTTCAGGGCCCGCTGCGACGCGCGGTGGAGTGATGCACGGAGGTTGAACAGCTCGTCCTCGCCACTGCCATCCTCATGCATTCGACACTGCTCCTCATAATACCCCTTCTCCATCTCCCTTTCTGCGCCCCTCAGCCGCCCCCAGCTCGCCCTGCTGGCCTGGTTCTGCCTCGACCGCATGGTGCTGCCCCAGCCACTCACCCCACGGCCTGTGTCCTCCTGCCCGCTCGCCTCACTCTCCTCCTCGTACCCGCATTGCTTGTACCCGCTCGCCTCGCACCCGCACTCCTCCACATACCCACACTCCTCAAAGCACGCCGTACCGTCAAAACACCCCCCACCCTCCACGCATCCTGCTCCACCGCCCTCACACCCCCTTTCATCGCCATACATCCCATCATCTGCGTACCGCAAGTCATCCAAGAAACCGCCCCCCATATACCCCATCGCCTCATCCATCTCCGCCACCTCTCCCCTCCCCAACACCACCACGTCCCCTCCGTCCCCCTCCCCGTCACTCCCCCTCACGCTGCATCTGCTTTTCTCGCTCCCCATTCTCCCTATTGCACCCAAATCCCCCCCCATGCTTCCCCCTAGGTTTCCCCCCACGGACGGCAGGCCGGCCGCCAGCTGGCGCATGGGGACGAACATCCGCGCGCCTCCCCCCGCGCCCTCCTCGTCGTCCCTTAAAGGCACGTCTTCGAACACGTCCAGCGCATGCAGCGTGCGCGCCAGCACCATCGGCAGCGTCCCGCTACCCCCGCTTCCCCCACTCCCCCCGCTTCCCCCGCTTCCGCCGCTTCCCCCGCTTCCCCTCACATCCCCCAGCACTCCCTCCTGCCTTTCCTCCCCCCTATCGGCGTCCTCTTCACCCCCCTGCCTTTCCGCCTCCGCGTCTTTCCCCGCCTCCCCCTTCTCCCCGGGAAGCGCCAGCTCTTCCGCGCGCAGAAGCTCCCGCGACGCCTGCAGCGCGGATTTCACCTGCGCGGCAGTCCCGAGGGGCACCGCCACGACCGCGTCCGGGTCCCACGGCGCCAGACGCTGCTGCCCTTCCGCCAGCCCGTGCGCCTGCGCGCGCGCCAGCGCCGCGAGCAGCTGCGCGTGGTCCGGGTGCGCCGGGGATGCGCTGTGAAGCTCGTGGTAGCAAATCTCGCCGACCGTCGACTGCGGGGGGGAGGAACAGAGGCCAAGGGCATTGCCAAACAGAGACGAATTTATAGTCAGCACAAACGGCAAGAGGAAAGAAAAGAAGCCCCGCGGGACGTGGGGACTACGAAGAAACGGCGTGAATGGTGCGAGACGCGGGACTCACCACGGCGGATCGAAGCGCGGAGGTGACGGCGCGCACACCAGGCAGAACGGCCGTGAACGCGCCCCTCAACACTCCTCCCACCGCGGACCCGCCCGAGCCAGCCTCCGTGCGAGCAGACCCGCACTCGCCTTCCACGAGAGGCAACACTGGCCGGCTCGTGCTTATATCGGGGCCACCATCGCAGCGCGGCTCCACGACGTGGCAGCGGCAGCTGGCATGGCTGCGATCGTCGTCAAGAGAGGTCACGCCGCGCTGCGGAGAGCTGGCATGGCTGCTTATTTCTAGTTCACGCCGCGCTGCCAGCGCGCGCGATGCCGCAGATAGGCAGGCAACTACCGGCCGCCCGTCAGAGCCGTTAGTGGCGTTACCGTCAGAGCAATCGGCGCCGGCTGCAAGTGGCTCCTCTCTCAAGCCCGTTTTCACGGCTCCCGGCGCCATCTCTGCCGCAGCATGAGCCAGCCTTGCACCCGGCCGTTCATCGCCTTTTCCTGGCATACCCCTGCCCGCACCCAATGACCCCTCATTCCCGTCCTGCATCCATTCACCCGCTTCCTGCGATCCCTCGCTCTCCCCGGGTATCCCCGCCACGCGGAACACGTCCATCTCCCGCCCTTCGATGCCCTCCGCTTCAGACTCGCTACTGTCCTCTCCGATTCCCGCTATGCGTACCGCACTCGCCAGGCGCGTCGCCGCGCGCCTCTTCCGTCTCTTGCTCCTCCCCACAACGCCGCCTAGCAGTGTATTCTGAGCCGTCTCTAGATTGCTCCTCCCAACCACGCTGCCTAGCAGCTCCAGCCCGCACCCCGCGTCCTCCCGCCTGAGCCCCTTAACTACGTGCACTCGTAACTCGCTGTCGATCTCCACTATCCCCACCATCCCCGCCATCTCTTCCGTTTCCCCCATCTCCGCCGGTTCCGCCGTCTCCGCCATCTCCGCCATCGCCGCCACCCCCCTGGTCGGCGCCATGTCGATCATCTCCGTGCCCTCTGCCTCGCTCTCCGAGCTCGAGGCGCCCGGCCAGCTGAAGATGCTTCTGATCGACTCCACCTCGTCCGCGTCGTCGCCACCATGCGCGTCCCACACGTCCGGTTCGTCCCACAACCCCACGCTGCTGGCGTCCCACGACCGCTCCGACCAACAGTCCTTCGCCATCTGGTCGCGTGTAACCACTTCGTTCGCAGCCTCCTCGTTCGCAGACACCGCCTCGCACCGTTCCTCGCCACTGACAGCACTATCCCGCTCACTGGTAGCGTCCTCCCGTTCGTCTTCGCCTCCTGTGCCAATTGCACCGGGGATCGACGCCTCCGAAGCTAATGAGCTGTCGCGCGAATCCCCTGAACTCTCTGTACATCCATCGCCCGAGTACTCGTCAACGGCGCGTTTCCCGCTCTCTATTGAGGCTCGTGTGCTCGTCTGTTCGAGCGGTGCGGATGTCTTCGTCTGGTGCAGCACGCCGAGAGCCGAGGATTTTAATCGACTCGCGAGGTGCACCCAGTCGAGCTGACGTGGATCCATGGCCGCTGAAATCTTCCAGGAAGTTCGGGGAGATGATTCGGCGGAGTCGCTTGACGACGCTGACGTGTCAAGGTCATCCGGACCGTCCTCATCCACGTCATGCATCGGATAGACTGTAGCCGCTACAACTGGGAATTCCGCTACCTTCACTACTTCCACCTCATCAGCTAGTAGCGTGTCCATACAGTGCATGAAGTCTGCTACGCGGTCACTTCTATCGGAATCCTCGCTACCTCTCGAAAAAATGCCCGGACAGTAATCCTTCCAAGTGCGGCTCGGAATTTCCTGAGGCGACGAGCCCGAGAGGCTGTTGGCGATGGCTAGACCCATTTCATAACCATAACCTAGAGAGCTCCAAGAACGAAGAAGAGACGATTCCGCAACGGATCGCTTTTGTGGTGACAATTTCGAGAAAGCAACCTCGAGTCGAGAAGCAACCTCGAGAAAAAGAGGAGCAGGGGACTGGACTGGTGGAATGGCGTGGGGCTGGAGGAATCAATGGTCCAATCAATGGTGCGCCCTGAGCTGACTGTTGGGGTCACACGGGGCGGGGAGGGGCTGATGTACGGCTGACGGGGGAAGCAGCAGGTCGAGGAGGAGAGGGCGCTGGAGAACAGGTACTGGCCTCGGCCAGCGCAAACCGCCTGAATTGCGTGCGCCTGACGGCTCCTTTCCGCCTTTCCGCGCCAGGCATGTGCCAAACTGCTGCTCCGCCTGCAGGTTTGAGAGGTGGTTGGGGGGGTGGGTTCGTTTGGTTGCTGCTCCACCTTGGGGTTTGGCTTGGCACCGCCAACCAACAGTTGGCTTGAACTGACTAGACGACAACGGACCTTTCCCGGTGGGGGCTCACAAACCAGATTCGTGGCCAACGATTCGCAACTGTGTTACAGAAGTCATATATTACAGATGGCAAATATATTCTCAAATGAAATTGCACCCTTTCTCCGCTCTTTCCTACTTGTAAGGAAATTCCCTTTTTCCTTATTGGGCTTGACTACAGCGCGTACGCCGTCGACTCTCAGAATTCCAGGCTTGGCCAACTTCTTTGGTCTCGAACCATTTCGTGAACCCAAACCTAGACGCGCGGCACTTCCGTGGCTTTCACCAACCGGACCGCCCCAACCTGTTCGTGTGGTTCTCGACTAGCTCTGTTCGTGCCCATAAATGCCTAGGCCCTCATTTGTATTGACACTCTTGAATCACGACTCCTTAATTACACTACCTGTTATTATTCTGATTAATTCATAACAGCTGGCAGGGTCTCAGATATCAGACGAAATCGGTCTGATGGTTTGAAAATCAGACCTGTTTTTTTCCATTCATCTGATTTTTTTACGGGCTAAATTAATTCGTCTGATCGTTCAGATAAGCCATAAGATTTCGTCTGAAAGTTCAGACCATGTGTAGACTTTCGTCTGATAATCCAGATAGCGCGTATTTTTTCGTCTGAGGGTCTGAGACATTACTCTTTGTCCCCCCATCCCTCCCCCCTCCCCCCCCCCACAACCGAGATTTTTTTGGCTAAGTCCTCGACTGCCAGATACATTCCCCCCACACCCTAGAATATATAGTTTTTTCCGGCTAAGTGCCCCACACAAGAGATATTCCTCCACACGCTCGTCGCAACAACAAAAAATTGGTTGTCTCCCACACCAGAGTCATTCGTCAACCCCCCACGCAACCCATTCAAGTCCCTAACTGCGAGATACATTTCCCCACACACCCCTCGCAGCCCGGTTTTTCCAGGTACGTCCCTGCTACCTTGCTTCCACGCTGTTTTTCGGCTTCGTCGCTTGACTGGACTGGGGGCGGGGTGGAAGGAACCCTGAAATTGCTAGGCAAAGAGAGGGGGCTGCCTGCACGTGACATGTCACGCCACCTGCAAGTGTTCCTGCCAGAATCCAAGCCTCAACCAACCCTCCTACGGCCTCTTCACAGGCCTGCCTGTTCCAAGACTCCCACGCTACAGTGCTGTGCAATGAATCCTGCGCTCTTCTGCGTGGTTCAGACTGACGAGGCAGGACGTGTTTTAAACTTCTTCGCAGGTCACATTTTCCAGAGAGGCGGGGGTCTCTACACTACAGTTCGATTATGACCCGAGCAGAATCAAAGCGGTTGAGAATGTGATACTGAAATGAAGTGAGGTTGACAAGAAAACCTTCGAGCGTGCTCTCAGGCGAGGACCGAGTCTGCGAATTGGGTAGCCTGGGAAGAGGTTCGTAAGAAAACGCTCTTAGAAAAAAACGAACAAATGGAGGTCGACGAAATTACAAGTGACGCAAAATTTTCGTCTGAATTTTAAGACCAGTGTAAAATTTCCGTCTGAAATTTCAGACTCCTCGATTTTTTTCGTCTGATGGTCAGACCAAACTTTGAAACCCCGTCTGATTCTCAGACAGCCCCAAATCCTAGCTGAAACCCTGACAGCTGGTATCAGAGCTCCGTTCCTGTCCTCTTAGTCTTCCGTAGAGTTGTCCGTTTATATCGGGAGAGGACCCAACATAATAGGGGATTGGCCTGCGATTGGTAGGTGAGCTCGTTAAAGCTCCTACAACTAAAAGCGTGTGCACCCTCAGATCTCTGATGTAAAATTTCCAGCATGTCTACCATGCCGGAAACCTTTGCCCGTCGTAGTGTTAGGAACGTGACTCATGGAGAGTTTGACGTGTTGCAAGCCAGGGCGGCTACAGTGACGACACTGCAGGTCCAACTTCAACAACTCGCCGATAAGTTCGAGTTGCTGGGAAGCGAAGTTCGGACGCTGCGCAACGAAAACTCGTTGCTTTGCCAGACGCGGGGTGAAACGCGTCAGGGGCGGCCTGTTACTCGGGACGAAGATGCTGCGAGCGAAGCAAGGGCGTCGGGGACACCTGAAGCAGTTGAAGAAGTCCTCAGCGAGCCGCGGGTGGCCATTAAAATCAAGCCACCGATGCCCCCGCCATTCAATCCGACCGACATGATAACTACAGTGAGCAGGTGAGCCATGGAAATCTTCTGCACGGCAGCAAGTATTAATGACAACGCATCACGTGTCAACTTGGCTGTGTCGCTGCCAAGGGGACCGGCACTCGACTGGTGGCGCATGCATCTAGACGAAAGAGGAGCCCCGACAGGGAATCAACGGGCGGTAAATGGGGAGCTGAGTTCATCAACGGCGAAGGCATAACCGATCTTTGGGTCAGCCACGATCCGCACGTGGAAAGCGTGGGGCTAAACGTTGAAGGGCACATTCGAGCACATATCCATGCTCGTAAATGCTTGTACAAAGCTTCCGATTTGGAGACAGTTGGGCTCTGTCCAAGAATACACGGCGTCGTTTCTGGCAATCTGCGACCAAATCGGAGGGCTTAGCGAAGACGAGCGCATCGATCGCTACGTGGGTGATCTCAAGCCGGAGATTCAGCAAGAGATCGTCCTGCGAGCCCCGGCGACATTCAACGAAATAGTTTGCATAGCAGACGCGCTGGACGCACGACGTGGACTCGCGAGAGCGGGTTTCCAGGAGGGAAATCGCTTTCGAGGCCAGCCCCAACTCACATCAATCAACGCCGTGGACGTGTTTGCAGCCCGAGTATTTTCGGGAACCTGCTTCCACTGCAAACAGCCGGGTCACATGGTGAGGGACAGCCTGCAGCTGAAGAAGAACTTACCTAACGACAAGAAGCAGTCGGGAAATGGAGATCGTTAGTAGCAGATGGGCCACCTACTGACTTGACTGCGTCGCCCAAACGCCACCACCCCACAAGGTTATAGTGCCGATTTGGGCTATCGACCATTCCTGGCTGAATAAGGGGGGTGAACCGGTTAATCGCCCTATGCTGGTTGAAGGAAGAGTTGGCGACACCCGCATCAAAATATTCGTTGATGGCGAGGCGGGCCACATTTGATGGACGTAACAAATGCGAAAAAATTGCAATTGCAGCTGGAGCGCTGCATGCCTGAATCGACGCGAGATTGGTTGACGGCACACCACTGGCAATTCGGGAGCGGGTACCTCACGTGCGAGTAACATGCGGCAAAAGTTTTAGTTTTACGACGAAGATGCTGGCGACAACTTTGGACAGCTGCGACATGCTGTTGGGACGCGATTGGCTACCTGAATACAACCCGAGCATTGACTGGCGGACGGGCAATTGTCGCATCAAATGGAGTGGCGAGTGGCGACGACTACCCAAGTGGAGCTGTCAAGATTCGACCACATCGACGGTCAGCGCAGTAACGATCAAGCGAGCCATGATTCGAGGGGCTTAACTGTATGTCGTCCGCTGGATCGCATCAACGGCTGTCGACACACCGACCGACATTGACAAACTCTGCGTAGCTGTCCCGGATGACTTGGCGATGGTGGTTCGGAAACACGCCGACATTTTTCCAGACGACCTACCGGCGGGTTTGCCACCTGAGCGAGAACATGACCACAAAATCGAGCTGGAGCCCGGCGCGCAGCCTCCTGTTCGGACTCAAATGCAGCTGACTCAGCCCAAGCTAGATGAACTTCGAAGCCAGTTGGACTACCTGCTCGAGAAAGGTTTCGTTTGCCCCAGCACATCCCCGTTTGCAGCTCCGATCCTGTTCACCCCGAAGAAAGATGGCGGTCTACGAATGTGTATTGACTACCGCGCCTTGAACTGGGTTACCATCAAGTCTCGCTATCCTATCCCGCGTGCTGATGAACTCATCGACCAACTTCGCGGAGCCAAATTCTTATCGAAAATTGACCTGCGAGGCGGTTACCACCAGTTCTGCGTGAACGAAGCTGACTACTACAAGACGGCGTTTCGGACCCGGTACAGGAGTTACGAGTACACGGTTATGCCTTTTGGCTTAACAAACGCACCTTCGACGTTCCAGCTAACCATAAATGAGGTTTTTCGGCTGCTAATGGATAAATGCGTCATCGTGTACCTCGACGACATACTGGTCTACAGCACTACCCGGAAGCAACATTTGAAGGATTTTGACAACTGTTTTCTCCCTATTACAGCAGCACCGACTCATCACCAAGGGCTCTAAGTGCGAGTTTCTAAAACACGAACTAGAGTTTTTGGGCCACGTAATTTCCATCGACGACGTTAAATCGACCCCAAGATAAATGCAACGATACAAGACCGGAAGTCGCCGGTTAATCTCCGCGAAAACTCAGAGTTTTCTTGGGTTTGTCAATTACGCCCGCCATTTCATTCCGAACATGGCGGGGGTAACTTCCTCTCTCACCAATCTCCTGAAGAAGGGCAAGTTTTATGAGTGGGGGGGAGAGCAGCAGGCTGCGTTCGAACAGCTCAAACTTTTCCTGACTACACCTCCGGTTCTTTGAATTGTAGATCCTCACCGTCCATTCGAGCTCATCACCGACGCTAGCGATTTGGCCGTTGGCGCAGCCCTGTTACAAGACTTCAGCGAAGGCCTACAACCGATCGCCTACGAGTCACGAAAGCAGAACCCGGCCGAGCGAAATTATCATGTCCACGACAAGGAGTTACTCGCCATCGTTCACGCTTTCAGGGTCTGGCGCTGCTACCTGGTGTGACAGTCCGAACAGACCACAAGTCGCTACAGTTAATCCGCGCCCAACCGACACTGAATCCCCGACATATTCGCTGGCTTCATTACCTCGAGTCCAACTTCCACTATAGAGTCACCTATAAACGGGGGGTTAGCAACATCGCCGACACACTGACACGCTCTTCAATGCACAACGCCGCAGTCCTAATTACCCAAGCTAATCCGCTGATAATTGGCCTATTCATCCACGGATACAGTATTGACCCATTCTTTACCACTAACAGCCATCCCCAACTGACGGTCAAGCAAGGGGCCTATTACCTAAAATCCGGTACCAATCAGATTTGGGTTCCTGCCTACTGTACGAGAACTACTGATCCAGGAGGCACATGACTCGAATTTATCGGGTCACTACGGCATTGACAAAACCGCCAAATTACTGAGCCGTAATTATTACTGGCCTGACCTACCGACAGATGTGCAGCAGTACGTCACCTCCTGCGCCACGTGTCAACGCATGAAGTCTTCCCGACTTCGACGTGCTGGATTGCTGCAGCCACTCGAGCCACCCAGCCGACCCTGGCAACAAGTGACGATGGATTTCGTCACTGGCCTGCCAGCTGGTCCGAACGGTAATGACGCAATTCTCGTCGTCGTTGACCGGTTGTCCAAGATGGCCCACTTCGCCGTCTGCAAGACGACCATTACTGCCAAGCAGACAGCGAAACTGTTTCTCACGAACATCGTGACGAACATCGTGCGGCTAAACGGCATCCCCTTGGCAATCATCAGCGATCGTGACCCATGGTTCACATCCAACTTCTGGACAAAAACCTTGCAGCAGTACGGCACACGTCTGCATCTATCTACGGCGTACCACCCACAATCGGACGGCCAGACTGAGCGCATCAATCAGACGATGGAGCCGCTGATTCGCACGACATGCACAGACCCGGCCCAATGGGAGGACGCCCTTCCCTTGATCGAGTTTGCGTACAATAACGCCCCATCGGCCACGACTACTCAATCCGCGTTCTTCCTTAATTACGGGATAGATCCGACAACCCCTCTATCGCCCCCGATATAGAACCTGACACCAAGATCTCTGCAGTTCGTCGAAAACCGCCGACAGTCTCAGCAAAAAGCCGCCGATGCCATCCTCAAAGCCAACCAAAGGGCTAAGCAGCAAGCTGGCCGACGACGCCGAGACTTAACGCTCGCTCCTGGGCAATTGGTCCTGCTTGACACAAGAAAATTGGGAATTCCCCTCCCAAATTAACTTCAACCAAGATTTTGCAGCCCATTCCGCATCATCCGCATGGTGACACTAGTCACCGCCTAGCTGCAACTGCCGACAGACTGGCGAATCCATGATTCGTTCCACGTCAGTCTCCTGCGACCGTTCGTCCCGAGTACGACTAATCTCGACCGTCAACACATCAATCATACGGTCAACCGTGTACCCAAGCCAACGATCGAGCCATCCAAAATTCTTGCTCATTGCGTACGAGGTCATCGAGATACAGCAGCCGTTGATTTCCTTGAACGATGGGTCGATCGCACGACTGACAACGATCTCTGGGTCCCCACAGCTATGCTCGGTGAACACAGAGTAGTCCGGGACTATTTACACCGACGACGTGTCCCGGATGTGGGTAGTCTCATCCCGGAAGGGGGGGTGGTGTAAGGAAATTCCCTTTTCCTTACTGGGCTCGACTACAGCGCGTACGCCCTCGACTCTCGGAAGTCCAGGCTCGGCCAACTTCTTCGGTCTCGAACCATTTCGTGAACCCAAACCTAGACGCACGACGCTTCCGTGGCTTTCGTCAACCGGACCGCCCCAACCTAATCACGTGGTTCTCGGCTAGCTCTGTTCGTGCCTATAAATGCCTAGGCCCTCATTTGTATTGACACTCTTGAATCACGACTCTTTTATTACACTACCTGTTATTATTCTGATTAATTCATAACACTACTAGAGTATGCAAAACGTTACAACTTGGTGGTAACAAGTTGCAGTTTGCGAGCCCGGAAGAAAGAGTGTCGCTGCTGAGCCACGGACTCGAAGTGCACGTTCTTGCGCTTGCGCTTGGAAGGGCCGGGGGAGGAGCCAGTGGGAGAATTCACGGGGCTCGATTGCTTGACCGACCACGCTTGTCCTTCCTCCTCGGCTTCATCTCCCTCCCTGAAAGCAAGAGAAAGCACACGAGATTACATGAAAGGCATGCAAGAGGCGAGAGCACCGCATGCCAAAGCACGCACAACACACCAACAGGACACATGCGAGGTTCAGGATGCCACAGCAACGCACGTACCAGTGCACGGGCACGCAGCTAGCCTCGATGGTGGTCTAGGCGGTGACTCAGCTGAAGTGCACGAGGGAGGGGAAGCCCTAACGGCAGAGAGCAGGAGTGCACAAGAGGACACTGCACATGCCAGTGCACATGGCAATGCACGTACCGGGGGCGCGCCAATGCACATGGCAATGCACGTACGGGGGGCGCGCCAATGCACATGGCAATGCACGTACCAGTGCACGGGCACGCAGGTGCTGTCCACGATGGTCTTGGCGGTGGCCCAGCTGAAGCGCACGAGCGAGGGGAAGCCAAAGACAGGGTCCGTGCTACCCGCCAGCCATGCCTTAGTGTCGGGATCTGGGGGGGGGGGAAGGGGGGAGGGAGAGGAGCAGGAAGCGAACGATGGGGAGAGTCAACAGGAAAGAGGAGAAGGCGTTTTCTGGGTCTGTGCTTCCCCCCAGCCACGCCTTGCTACCAGGGTTTGGCGGGACACGGGGGAAAGGGGGGGGGGGGGAGAGGACAGTAAGAAGGGGAGTGACGGGGGGAGAACAAGAAAGACCGGAAAATCAAGGAGAGGGTCCATGTCGCCACCAGCCATGCCTCGGCGGTGTTGTCTGGATGGGGGGGAGGGTGGAGTGGGGGCAGAGGAGGGGCCAAGTGCGGGGGAGGAGGAGAGGGGAAAGGGAGGGCGAGCGGGGAAATGAGGAGAGGGCCGTAAGTAGTGAGGGGCGAAGGGGCCGGAAGAGAAGGTGAAGCAGGGACAGGAGGTGGGAAGAAAGAGAGACATTTGTTGAGAGTGAAAGTGTCTTACCCACCCATCTCTGGTCAAAATCACCTCCCTTGCTTCCCTCATCTCATCTCCTCTCTCCTCTTCCCACCTCCCTTCCAACACCCCTTCTCTCAGTTTTCCTCGCTCCCCCTTCCTCTGACCATTCTTCCCCCCAACCCCCCCTATCAGCCATCCTCTCTTCTCCTCCGCTTACTCCCCCCCTCACCTGCAGGATATCCTGAACCCAGCTTGAGGCTGAACGACTCTCCTGCTGACACCACTGCTGCTTCTCCTGTTGCTACTCCGGCCTCTGCAGCAGCAGCTGAAGCAGGCGTTGCAGCTTCCTCCTCCTCTCCACTTGCACAATCTTCACTGGCGCTCTGCGCTTGGGCCACGTGCAAGCCACCGCCCGGCTGACTCAAATGACTGGTGTGTTGACTGGGTTGACTGAGCCGCTGGGCCTGGGCTGCTACGGTTGAGGTGCTGAGCGGCAGTGCGTGTGCATCCTCCCTGAACCTCCACGACTGGATGCAGCGGTCACGAGTCACCTGAGAGCATGGCAGAAGCATGTATGGCACAAGAGGGCATGCAGCATGTATGGCGCAAAAGGGCATGCAGCATGTATGGCACAAGAGGGCATGCAGCATCTATGGCACAAGAGGGCATGCTGGATGGATGGCACAAGAGGGCATGCTGGATGGATGGCGCATGAGGGACTGCCTGACAGATAGTGCAAACATGTGGCAGCACCTTGGCAGGCAACCTTACCAGCACTCACAATGGGGCCATGTGCCAGTCACATGTTCATTGCCATGTGCCAGTCACATGTTCATTGCCATGTGCCAGTCACATGTTCATTGCCATGTGCCAGTCACATGATCATTGCCTGACACACAAGGTGGCATGGCATGCATATGGGGATGCATGTCTCCGCACCTTGGCAGCAATGCTAGCAGCGTTGACCATAGGGAGGAGACGGAGTGCCTTGGTGGGAGGACGTATAGCGGCATGGCACATGCAAGACACACATGCTGGTACGGCATGCCTATGGGGTTGTACCCATGCTTGTGGGGTTGTACCGCGCGCACCTTGGCACATGGTGGAAGGAGTGAAACGGCAAGCCACACATGGTGGCAGGCAGAGAGCATGCTTCAGTGATGCATGTACCCGCCCTTGGCAGCAATGCTGGCAGCGCTGACAATGTGGAAGAGGCTGCCGGCCTTCAGCGTTCTTCGCCACTAGGAAGGAAACGCTGGGAGAGGCGCTCCTGGTGCTTCTGGGGATTCTCGAGTGTGCTGACACACGGGGATGCACCCATACCTTGGCGGCAATGCTGGCGGCGCTGACGATGGGGAAGAGGCTGTCGGCCTTCTTGGCCACGGTGAACCGGACGGAGGGGAAGCGTTGGGAGAGGCGATCCTGGTGCTTCTGGGGGTCTCCCAGCGTGTCGACATACGCCTGATGGTGGTGTGGGGTGGGAGGAGGGGAGAGGAGACGAGGGAGGAGGCCTGTGTGACTCGCATGCAAGGGTAACGGTGGAAGAGGCGATCCTGGTGCTTCTGCGGGTCGCCCAACTTGTCGACGTACGCCTGATGGTGCTGTGGTGTGGGTGCGAGGAGGGGGAGAGGAGACGACAGAGGAGGCCTGTGTGACTCGCATGCAAGGGGAAGCGCTAAGAGTGTGATCCTAGTGCTTCTGGGGGTCGCCCAGCGTGTCGACATTTCCCTGTTGGTGGTGTGGGTGAGTGCGAGGGGGAAAGGGAACCTGTGAGAGCGCATGCCACGGAAGTGCTGGAATAGGAGTTGCTGATGCCTCTGGGGGTCGCCCAGCGTGTCCACATTGGAATCTTGGTGGTGTTGCGTGGGGGATTAGCCCATGAGTAGAGCACCGAGAGGGGCTCGGTGGGAAAGGCTGGTCCTGCTGCCAGGGGGATGCTTGTGGCAAGGACGGAGAGAGGAGAAAGAGAAGGGGGGTGACGGAGAAAGTGGGTCAACTCAATGGCCAGAGGAGTGTGTGTAAAAGGAGTGACATGGTGAGTGGGTGAATGGGTGAGTGGGTGAGTGGGCGAGTGGGCGAGTGGGCGAGTGGGCGAGTGGGCGAGTGGGCGAGTGGGCGAGTGGGCGAGTGGGCGAGTGGGCGAGTGGGCGAGTGGGCGAGTGGGCGAGTGGGCGAGTGGGCGAGTGGGCGAGTGGGCGAGTGGGCGAGTGGGCGAGTGGGCGAGTGGGCGAGTGGGCGAGTGGGGCGAGTGGGCGAGTGGGCGAGTGGGCGAGTGGGCGAGTGGGCGAGTGGCGGTGGGCGAGTGGGCGAGTGGGCGAGTGGGCGAGTGGGGGGGCGAGTGGGCGAGTGGGCGAGTGGGCGAGTGGGCGAGTGGGCGAGTGGCGAGTGGGCGAGTGGGCGAGTGGGCGAGTGGGCGAGTGGGCGAGTGGGCCGAGTGGGCGAGTGGGCGAGTGGGCGAGTGGGCGAGTGGGCGAGTGGGCGCGAGTGGGCGAGTGGGCGAGTGGGCGAGTGGGCGAGTGGGCGAGTGGGGCGAGTGGGCGAGTGGGCGAGTGGGCGAGTGGGCGAGTGGGGGTGGGCGAGTGGGCGAGTGGGCGAGTGGGCGAGTGGGCGAGTGGGCGAGTGGGCGAGTGGGCGAGTGGGCGAGTGGGCGAGTGGGCGAGTGGGGCGAGTGGGGCGAGTGGGCGAGTGGGGGCGAGTGGGCGAGTGGGCGAGTGGGGGGGAGTGGGCGAGTGGGCGAGTGGGCGAGTGGGCGAGTGGGCGAGTGGGCGAGTGGGCGAGTGGGGCGAGTGGGCGAGTGAGGCGAGGTGGGGCGAGTGGCGAGTGGGCGAGTGGGGCGAGTGGGCCGAGTGGGCGAGTGGGCGAGTGGGCGAGTGGGCGAGTGGGCGAGTGGGCGAGTGGGCGAGTGGGCGAGGTGGGCGAGTGGGCGGAGTGGGCGAGTGGGCGAGTGGGCGAGTGGGCGAGTGGGCGAGTGGGCGAGTGGCGAGTGGGCGAGTGGGCGAGTGGGCGAGTGGGCGAGTGGGCGAGTGGGCGAGTGGGCGAGTGGGCGAGTGGGCGAGTGGGCGAGTGGGCGAGTGGGCGAGTGGGGCGAGTGGGCGAGTGGGCGAGTGGGCGAGTGGGCGAGTGGGCGAGTGGGCGAGTGGGCGAGTGGGCGAGTGGGCGAGTGGGCGAGTGGGCGAGTGGGCGAGTGGGCGAGTGGGCGAGTGGGCGAGTGGGCGAGTGGCGAGTGGGCGAGTGGGCGAGTGGGCGAGTGGGCGAGTGGGCGAGTGGGCGAGTGGGCGAGTGGGCGAGTGGGCGAGTGGGCGAGTGGGCGTAGTGGGCGAGTGGGGCGAGTGGGCGAGTGGGCGAGTGGGCGAGTGGGCGAGTGGGCGAGTGGGCGAGTGGCGCGAGTGGGCGAGTGGGCGAGTGGGCGAGTGGGGCGAGTGGGCGAGTGGGCGAGTGGCGAGTGGGCGAGTGGGCGAGTGGGCGAGTGGGCGAGTGGGCGAGTGGGCGAGTGGGCGAGTGGGCGAGTGGGCGAGTGGGCGAGTGGGCGAGTGGGGGGCGAGTGGGCGAGTGGGCGAGTGGGCGAGTGGGCGAGTGGGCGAGTGGGCGAGTGGGCGAGTGGGCGAGTGGGGCGAGTGGGCGAGTGGGCGAGTGGGCGAGTGGGCGAGTGGGCGAGTGGGCGAGTGGGCGAGTGGCGGCGAGTGGGCGAGTGGGCGAGTGGGCGAGTGGGCGAGTGGGCGAGTGGGCGAGTGGGCGAGTGGCGAGTGGGCGAGTGGGGCGAGTGGGCGAGTGGGCGAGTGGGCGAGTGGCGAGTGGGCGAGTGGGCGAGTGGGGCGAGTGGGCGAGTGGGCGAGTGGGCGAGTGGGCGAGTGGGCGAGTGGGCGAGTGGGCGAGTGGGCGAGTGGGCGAGTGGGCGAGTGGGCGAGTGGGCGAGTGGGCGAGTGGGCGAGTGGGCGAGTGGGCGAGTGGGCGAGTGGGCGAGTGGGCGAGTGGGCGAGTGGGCGAGTGGGCGAGTGGGCGAGTGGGCGAGTGGGGCGAGTGGGCGAGTGGGCGAGTGGGCGAGTGGGCGAGTGGGCGAGTGGGCGAGTGGGCGAGTGGGCGAGTGGGCGAGTGGGCGAGTGGGCGAGTGGGCGAGTGGGCGAGTGGGCGAGTGGGCGAGTGGGCGAGTGGGCGAGTGGGCGAGTGGGCGAGTGGGCGAGTGGGCGAGTGGGCGAGTGGGCGAGTGGGCGAGTGGGCGAGTGGGCGAGTGGGGCGAGTGGGCGAGTGGGCGAGTGGGCGAGTGGGCGAGTGGGCGAGTGGGCGAGTGGGCGAGTGGGCGAGTGGGCGAGTGGCGAGTGGGCGAGTGGGCGAGTGGGCGAGTGGGCGAGTGGGCGAGTGGGCGAGTGGGCGAGTGGCGAGTGGGCGAGTGGGCGAGTGGGCGAGTGGGCGAGTGGGCGAGTGGGCGAGTGGGCGAGTGGCGAGTGGGCGAGTGGGCGAGTGGGCGAGTGGGCGAGTGGCGAGTGGGCGAGTGGCGGTGGGCGAGTGCGAGCGAGTGGGCGAGTGGGCGAGTGGGCGAGTGGGCGAGTGGGCGAGTGGGCGAGTGGGCGAGTGGGCGAGTGGGCGAGGGGCGAGTGGGCGAGTGGGCGGGTGTGGGCGACTGGGCGTGTGGGCGACTGTGGGCGGTGGGCGGTGGGCGGTGGGCGGTGGGCGGTGGGCGGTGGGCTGTGGGGCTTGAACCCAGGACCTCTCCCTTCCACTGTTCTTTTTAGCCCGCTACAACATTGGTTGTGAAAATTTAGGGATGATGACAATTTCGTCGGCCCTTTCTCCTAGACTCACCTCCAACACGTTGACCTGCGTTGACTCACCTCCCCCATGTTGACCTGTGTTGACTCACCTGCAGCACGTTGACCTTCGTTGACTCACCTCCACCACGTTGACCTGCGTTGACTCACCTCCACCACGTTGACCAGCGTAGACTCACCTCCACCACGTTGACCCGCTGGTCCAGCAGTCGCTGAATGAGCTTCGCCGTAGACTCAAAGGCAATCGCGTTCAGGCTCGTGCGCTCCCTGCCATGCCATGTGGTGCCATGCAACACCATGCCATGCCATGTGGTGCAATGCAACACCATGCCATGCCATGCCATGCCATGTGGAGCATTCAAAGATGATGGTGATGAGGCATATGGTGGATGTGTGTGTGCATGAAACATGGATTGTAGCAGCATACAGAACAGCTCAACACACATGAGCGCTCTTCAAGGCACCTGGAAAACCACCTGAATCAGCTGACATCAGTGTGTGAACATGCACCTGAAGGGTCGCCTGAACACACCTGGAGAGCATCTGGGCAGAGAGAGCAGCAGCACTGATGACGTCAACCTCCCACCCAATCACGTCAGCAGACGCCATCTCTGTTGCCCCTGCTGCAGTTCGCTCTCGGCCGTCCCTGCTACCCGCACCAACATCTTCCACAGAGCTGCTGTTGCCAGTGCCGTTCGGATTGCCGTTCAGATTGCCATTCCCATTCCCAACGCCATCGCTGCTCCCAGCATCCCCCCTTGGCTCTGCTGCAGCAGCAGCAGTGGCTGCAGCCCCCCCCATGGCTCGGAACAGCTGCTCCCGCCTGGCCTCTGTGAGGGTCTTGGAGTCTGGTAGGGGGTGGGAGGGGGCAGGTAGCGGGGCGGAAAGAGAGGCGAAAGGGGAATCGGGGGAGGCACGAGAGTGGAAACAGCTCATCCCGCCTGGCCTCTGTGAGGGCCTTGGAGTCTGGAGGGGGGGGGAGGGGGCAGGTGGGGGGGCGGACAGAGAGAAATGGAGGAAGGTGGGTGGGGGGGCGTACAGAGAGGCGAGAGGGGGAACAGGGGCAAGGACGTGAGGGGGAACAGCTGCTCCCGCCTGGCCTCTGTGAGGGTCTTGGATTCTGGTGTTGTGGGGGGGGAGGACAGGGGAGGTGGCAGGGCGGAGAGAGAGGCGAGAGAGGGATGTGGGGACGGACGTGGGTGGCAGGGAGTGAGTTTTGAGGCGCCTGAAAACGTGGGTGGCAGGGAGTGAGTTTTGAGGCGCCTGAAAACGTGGGTGGCAGGGAGTGAGTTTTGAGGCGCCTGAAAACGTGGGTGGCAGGGAGTGAGGGACGGTGAAAGGCGAAAAAGGGAGCGAACTGACCACCGAGAGAGTTAGGCAATCACTGCTGCAGTGGCACCGATGTAACTACAATGGGTACATCCTTCAAATCCTCCACATCCCGAGAGAGACTCCCACACGTTCCATCCCTTTGTTCGTCCCTTTTAACAGCCTCACCCCACACCTCTCCCCTTGCTCTCCTCTCATCCCATTTCTCACCTCCCACCATCTCACCTCCCACCATCTCACCTCCCACCATCTCACCTCCCACCCATCTCACCGACCCTCAAGTCCCCCAAAGCCCACTCTCCTCCCCCCCCACCCACCACACCCACCAGCGAAGCCCATTCTCACGACCTGCTGCTTGCTGCTCGCAGCACAGCACGCACACGCTTCCTTCCCTCCCCTCTTCTCGCACCCACGCCCCACCAGCAGCGCCATCGCATCCCCAACGAGGCAACCTTTGAGTCGACTCAAAAGTCACCTCGCTGCTGCCCACACAGCACGCACACTCTTCCTTCCCTCCCCTCTTCGCGCACCCACGCCCGACCAGCAGTGCCGTCGCATCCCCAACCAACCACCACCGTGCCCATCCGTCCACCCCCCAGCACTCACCAGCGAAGCCCATTCTCGCGACCTGCTCCTTGCTGCTCGCCGCGCAGTACGCACACGCGTATACCATGGGGCCTGCCGGCATGGGAGAGGGGGGAGAGGAGAGGTGGGAAGAGAGAGCGAGAGTAGTATGCACACGCGTATACCATGGGGCCTTCCCGCACAGGGAGGTGGGGGAGAGGTGACGGTGGGAAGAGAGCGGGAGTTCAGCAGGCGCATGCGTTTACCATGGGGCCTTTGGCGTGGAGAAAAGGATGGGGAAGGAGAGTGGGGGGGACGGGAGATGCATGCACGCACCGTGGCCACAAGCATACTCCGCAGCCGTCACATGCGCTGGGCGTCAATGCGAGTGACAGCGACGACGAGAATGCCATAGGGCATCGCGGCGAGGCCATGCGGACAATACTCTTACCGAGAACGGGCCCGCGGCCCGCCTCGTCGATCCCCATGATGCACGGCGCCGACCGCGAATGGCGTACGGCATTCCCAAGGGGAAAGAGAGCACGGCATTCCCAAGGGGAAAGAGAGCACGGCATTCCCAAGGGGAAAGAGAGCACGGCATTCCCAAGGGGAAAAAGAGCACGGCATTCCCAAGGGGAAAGAGAGCACGGCATTCCCACGGGGAAAGAGAGCACGGCATTCCCAAGGGGAAAGAGAGCACGGCATTCCCAAGGGGAAAAAGAGCACGGCATTCCCAAGGGGAAAGAGAGCACAGCATTCCCACGGGGAAAGAGAGCACGGCATTCCCAAGGGGAAAGAGAGCACGGCATTCCCAAGGGGAAAGAGAGCACGGCATTCCCAAGGGGAAAAAGAGCACGGCATTCCCAAGGGGAAAGAGAGCACGGCATTCCCACGGGGAAAGAGAGCACGGCATTCCCAAGGGGAAAGAGAGCACGGCATTCCCAAGGGGAAAAAGAGCACGGCATTCCCAAGGGGAAAGAGAGCACAGCATTCCCACGGGGAAAGAGAGCACGGCATTCCCAAGGGGAAAGAGAGCACGGCATTCCCAAGGGGAAAGAGAGCACGGCATTCCCAAGGGGAAAGAGAGCACGGCATTCCCAAGGGGAAAGAGAGCACGGCATTCCCACGGGGAAAGAGAGCACGGCATTCCCAAGGGGAAAGAGAGCACAGCATTCCCAAGGGGAAAGAGAGCACGGCATTCCCACGGGGAAAGAGAGCACGGCATTCCCAAGGGGAAAGAGAGCACGGCATTCCCACGGGGAAAGAGAGCACGGCATTCCCAAGGGGAAAGAGAGCACGGCATTCCCACGGGGAAAGAGAGCACGGCATTCCCACGGGGAAAGAGAGCACGCATTCCCACGGGGAAAGAGAGCACGGCATTCCCACGGGGAAAGAGAGCACGGCATTCCCACGGGGAAAGAGAGCACGGCATTCCCAAGGGGAAAGAGAGCACGGCATTCCCACGGGGAAAGAGAGCACGGCATTCCCACGGGGAAAGAGAGCACGGCATTCCCACGGGGAAACATGGGTACGGCATTACGGCGAGGGACGGCGGAGTAGCCTCTTACCGAGAACGGGACCGCGGCCCGCCTCGTCGATCCCCATAATGCACGGCGCCGACCGCCACGTCATCGCCAGGAGACGGGAGAGAGAAACGAGGAGAGAGACGCGGGGAGGGGGGCGCGGGGAGAGAGATGCGGGGAGAGAGAAACGAGGAGAGAGACGCGGGGAAGGGGACGCGGGGAGAGAGATGCGGGGAGAGAGACGCGGGGAGGGAGACGCGGGGAGGGAGACGCGGGGAGGGAGACGCGGGGAGAGAGACGCGGGGAGAGAGACGCGATGAGGGAGACGCGGGGAGAGAGACGCGGGGAGGGAGACGCGGGGAGGGAGACGCGGGGAGAGAGACGCGGGGAGGGAGACGCGGGGAGAGAGACGCGGGGAGAGAGACGCGGGGAGAGAGACGCGGGGAGAGAGACGCGGGGAGAGAGACGCGGGGATCGGAAGTGGCAAAGAGCCGCCCGCTGCAGGGCTGTCGAGCGGATGGAAAAAGGCAGGCGATCGAACAGGGATAAGAGCGAAGCAGAGGTTCGTAGAAATGGCGAAAATGTGACGGCTGTGGGATTTGAACCCACGCCTCTTTCGAGATTGGAGCCTAAATCCAACGCCTTAGACCACTCGGCCAAACCGTCACGACACTGATTTTCCAATTAACAATTTTATTTTGTTTTTGTTTTAGGTGCTCCTGTCCCCATTTCTTAACCTGCCAACAATGGCTGACATCAGCTTGTGCCGCGTTTGCCGCCTCTCCCATGATCAAGGTCGAGCACACATCTACACCAAGCGACACTCGGCGGCGCTTGCGACGCTTCTCGACAAGGAGCTCCGTCGCATGGCCGCCCTTGCGACGTGGCTGGAGTCGCACAGCCGCTCGCTTGCATCCACCGCAGAGCAAAGCGCGCCGATCGCCGCAGCGGGAACCGAAGCCGACGATCGTGGCGGGAGATTCGCGTGCGAGGAGAGCCGGAAGCGAAGCCGATGGTGCCGGTTCTGCGACGCTGACGTGGCAGAGGATAGCGTGATTGGCGGATGGTGAGCGCTCTGACAGCGGTCCCTCCTCACTCCCTCCCTCACACCCTCCCCCACTCCCTCCCTCACACCCTCCCCCACTCCCTCCCTCACGCCCCTCACACCTTCCCCTTCTCGGAATCTCCCTCCCTCTCTCCCCATCTCCTCCTCTTCCGCTCCGCGCCTTCCCGGCTCGTAGCCTCCTCCCAGAGCGTTCTCACCTCCGTATGCTGGTTCCGCTTCTCCCCTCTTTCCCCCGCCTCGCTCCGTCCGCCCAAAACGCCTTCACTTGACGCGGAATCCTGCTTCTCCCTTCCTTCCCCGGCTCGCCCAGAGCGCCCTCGCCTTCTTACGCGGAATCCGCTTCTCCCCTCCTCCTCCCCGTCGGTGCGTGTGCTCGTGTTAGGAAGCACTGGCTGCGCCACGTCAGCAGCGGGGACCACATGACGTCAGTGACGGCGTTTTGGGCCGCAAACTGCAGCGGCAGGGGCGTTGTGGCTGCTGATACTGTTGCTCTCACTGCCGCCCTGGCCGCTCGCCTTGCTGCTGCTGCCGCTGCTGCTACAACCGCTACTACTCCTACGGCTACAGGTGGAGGTGTTGGTGGTGGTGGTAGTGGTGGCGCTACCGTAGCTGCATATACAGCGGATGCCTGTGCTAAGAGGCGCGCCAAGGGGAAACGGGGGAGCAGAAATGGCGGCTTAGAGACTAAGGAACCTTGGCGTGCATTCGTTCTACCCCCTGCAGCCGCCACCGCCACCGTCACCGCCACCGCCTGCGCCACCGCTGCTGCTGCTGCTGCTGTGGCTTCCCCATCTTCCTTCACTCCCCCATCCCCCCCTGTTCCGCCATCCTCCCCATCCCCCCTTGTTCCGCCATCCTCCCCATCCCCCCTTGTTCCGCCATCCTCCCCATCCCCCCTTGTTCCGCCATCCTCCCCATCCCCCCTTGTTCCGCCATCCTCCCCATCCCCCCTTGTTCCGCCATCCCCCCCATTCCCCCCTGTTCCGCCACCTCCCTCTCTACCGTCATCGCATCACCCTGCTTGCCCCCCCCTCACTCCCCTGCCACACGCCAGGGCACCCAACTCCCTCCCTCCCATCACTTGCACCAAGCCTGCCATCCCGCCACCACATTCAACCACGCCCAACTCCCTGCTAAATCCCCTGGCCCCACCGGAGGGCCTCTCTCTCGTGCCCGAGACTTTTTGCCCCATAGTGTGTCCGCCCATCACCAACACCAAGCTCTGGAAGTTTAGAGAGCAGCGGGTCGGGGCAGCCTGGGCAGAGCAGCGCCGAGCAGAAATAAAAGCGGCGGAAGCAGCCAAGTCCGCTGCTGCGGCTCTGCGCTTTGCACCTGCTGGTCCGCCGGCAAAGGTGGGCAGTGCTGGGGCAGCTCTAACAGATAGCGGTGGTGCAGAACCAGGCAGCAGTGGAAGCGGTTCAAGCGTGCATGCCACCCCTGTGGCAGGGTCAAGCAGCAGAGCAGCAGCAGAAGGAGCAGTAGCGGTTTCAGCAGGTGAAGCGGGGCAAGAATCTGCCGGTGCTGGTGCTGGTCCTGTGCTTACGGAGGCTGGGCGCGAGCAGGGTAAGGTTGGGGGTGGCTCCATGTGGCTTCCGAGCTTTGGGCGCGTGTGGCAGAGCGGGCCGCGGCAGGCGAGCAGGAGGGAGTTTGAGGCGGAGAGGCGCACGCAGATGGGCAAGGGAGAGCAGGAGAGGCGTAGCAAGGGAGGGCAAGATAGGCCGCGCAAGGGAGGGCAGCAGAGGCAGTGCAAGGGTGGGGAGAAAAGGGGACAGGATGAAGTCATGCATGCTAGCCAGGGGGTTGAGCAGTCCGCACGGACGGGCGGAGCGGCGCAGCTGACTCCGCCAACGGGTCATGCAGTGCCCTCCTCCCAGGCTGTAGGCAGCCAGCAGGCAGTTTCAGCGTCCGCTGCTCCACAGGAAGAGGGGGGTATAGTAGCAGGCCCGCGTGATGCTTTTTCTGGGCTGCAAGCTTTTGAGTTGAGGCCATATGTTCCAAAGCGGCTTAGACGCTGATACGGTGTAACATGCGAAGCCAAAGTGCGGCCAGTTTACGGGAAGATGTTGGTGTACGGTACGGTACTTGTTTCACACCAATATCTAATTCCCTCGTTTGCCACTGCGAGTTCTCATTTTTACAATGTGTTAACATTCATTTATAGTTGCGTTAGGAATATATGAACTATAGCCTTGCTAGGGGTTAGTTCGTATATGGTATAAACACTAAGATATATGTTTCTGTTTTGCCTTGCTTAGTCAACCGGTTCTCTTCTCTCGACACGGCATCAGAGCTAGGTAGTTCCTAGCTATCGCGCTTCCGCCCCTAAACGCTCCTCACTCCCCTCCCGCCCTAGCTTAGGTAGCTCCTAGCCTCCCACCCTCCCTTAGCCTGATTGTGCTTCCCGCCCTACTGTTCGCTCGCACCTGCCACTACTCGTGCACCTGCCGCTCGCTGCTCGCTACTCCATCCTCGCCGCCAGCCAGCTAGCCAGCTACCGCCGCTCGCGCCCCTGCCCGCGCAGTTACAGTGGCCTACGCAGCTGCTCGCTGCTCGCCACTGCAGCCGCTCGCTGCTCGCCGCTGCAGCCGCTCGCTGCTCCTTCGCAGCCCGCTGCCGCAGCCAGCTCGTAGCTCGTTGCCCCAACTCGCAGCTCGCTGCCGCTCGCTTGTGCCGCCAGAGCAGCCATGTCATAAAGTCACCAGTCCTAACCACTAGGACAAGAAGGGGTGTCCTCAGGAAAGCTAGGCTCCATATATCCACCTTCCCAAGGGAAAGCATCCCTAGTACCCTCCCTAGAGAGAGAAGAGGTTCGACAAGGCTATCCCAGTGCCACGACAAGCCACTCGCTGCTCGCAACTGCCGCCGCTTGCACAGCTGCCCGCGCCGTCGCAACCGCCCGCTCGCTCATAGCCCACCTTGTTAAAGTGAAAGTGTGAACTAGAACAAGACATACAAGGGTATATAACCTAATGGGTTGTATTCCCTAAGGCACAACCCTATATAGTCTACAATAACATACAATATATATTTGACACACCCCCTATACTGGATAGGGGTAGTGCCTGATCAGAGAGAAACAGCTCAGGGTGGCACTACTAGTCCAGCCTCTGAGGCAGGGATCTAAAGACCAGTCGAACAAGTACAGACAAGGCAAGAGCAAGACCAGGGTGGCACTACTAGTCCAACCACTGGGAAAAGGCCACAAGGCCAGTCGGGGTAATATATATAAAGGTCTGTACACAATCAAGGTCCTAGCAAGTGAGAGGCTACAGGAACGAGACCTAGCTGTACATAGTGTCGCTGATGATCTTTAGGCGCAAGCGCCTTCGTAAAGATATCAGCTGTGTTGGCACTTGAGGCCAAGTGTACTGCACGAGCCTGGCGACGCTGCTGCAGCTCGCGTAGGAGGAAGTACCGCAGCTGGATGTGCTTCGCTCTGCCCTCAAGTCGTGGCTCCTGACACAGGAGGATCATGGCCCTGTTGTCAGCGTACAGAACCGGGGCAAAGCTAGGCCGCTCACCCAAGTCGGTGAGCAAGAAGGTCAGCCAGCAGAGCTCCTTTGCCGCCATGGCACCTGCGTAGATCTCAGCCTCACAGCTAGACTGGGCAACAGACGAGGACAGGGTGGACCTCCAGGAGATGGCACCTGCACCAAGGCTAAAGGAGTAGCCCTGTGAGGACCTGAGAGTCTCGGCGTCGTCTGCCCAAGAAGCGTCTGTGTGCCCGGTAAGGACCACTGGTCTCCATCCTCCTAGCACTAGCCACATGCCCGATGTACTTGCTAGATAACGCAAAACCCTCTTAGCTGCCGATTAGTGCTGGTCGGTGTCTGCCTTGGGCCACAAAGCGAGCCAGGATGCTGAGAGGGTATGCGAGATCTGGACGAATGCAAGTCATCAGGTACATGAGGCAACCCACCAGCTCTGCGTAGGGACCACTAGGCTCTACAGCCTCCTCTGGGACTAGGGCAGAGAGTATATGGTCTACTAGCAGAGGGGTGGGCTGTGTGGAAGAGAACTGAAGGCCGAACCTCTAAAGGACCTGGCGCACCAAGTGTGATTGTGAAAAGGTGATGGTGCGCGCTGCTCTGTCTCTGGAGATCTGCAAGCCAAGGTAGCGGCGCAGCTCTCCTAGGCCAGTGAAGGTGTGTCTACTCAGCAGCTCGGCCTTTACGGCGGCCTGCGCATCTCTGTCTGCAGTAGCAAGGACCAGATCATCTACGTAGACAAGGATGTAGAACGGAGTTTGGCCGGAACAGACGAAGAGCGAGGGGTCTGCAGACGAAGGAAAGAACTGCAAGTCAGCAAGTGTAGCACGCAGCGTGTCGTGCCACTCACGGGCGCCTGTTGCAACCCGTAGACGGGGCGCCCAAGGAGCCATTCGGTGCCAAGAGGGAAGGTACCGGAGAAGCCCTGGGGGCGGCGCAGGTAGACCAGCTCGTGAAGACTACCCTGGAGGAAAGCTGTGGAGAAGTCGAGGGAGTGCAGCTCGAAGTCACGCTGTGCTGCTACGTGTAGTAGTTCTCGAAGAGTAGTCATCTTCGGGGTCGGGGCGAAGGTCTAAAAGAAATCCACCCCCTCACGCTGGCTGAGGCCTCAAGCAACGTAGCGCGCCTTGAAGACAGGTGGCTCTCTAGGAGGGCGCTTCACCTTGAAGAGCCACCGGCCATCGACTACGTTCACCCCATGTGGGGGAACTGCGTCGACGAAGGTACCGGTGGATCTCCAAGATGCCATCTCCTACTCCATGGCAGCTATCCACTGAGAGGCCCAGGGTCCCGGGGTGGCCTCAGCGTAGGTGCGAGGCGTCAGGATGTCAAGGACGTCTGGGTCAACCTCAAGGACTAGTAGCATGGAACGTTGATGGGGAGCGGCCTTAGACAGGAAAGCGAGCTCGTACTGCCTGTCCTCTATGACGGCACTTCCAAGAGCAGCCACAACCCCGACGGCCAGTGGGCAGAAAGGGTCAGAGACCAGAGCGGTGGCGTAGTCCAGGCGGCGGGTAGCGGCGAACGCAGTGACAGCAGCAACAAGAGCCGACAGACTCGAGACAGGAATGGACGGGTCGGTAACGAGAGAGGCAAGGACACGAGGAACAAGGGGACGCGCAGCACGGAGGAAGTTCGAGAACGGAGGCGTTGCCACAGCAAGCGACGATGGAGGAGGAGAAGGGAGGAGAGCAAGAGCACGAGACGCATGGGAGCGAAGCAACATAGGGTGAGAACGCGGAACAGGGGAGGTAGGACGCGCACGAGACGGACGACGAGACCAGACGTGAGACGGAGGAGTCGGGTTAGGAGAGAGAGGAGGAGGCAAAGGAGGAGATCGGGGAGGGAAACGAGCCGGAGAGGAGTCCGGGGTAGGAAACACGGGGCCGTGGACCAACAGAGGAGGAGGCGGCGGCAGAACGGGCGATCAGGGGAAGGGAGACCGAGGAGGCGAAGAGCGGTCACCGGCGGTGACGGCTGCGACTGCTGCCCGACTCCAACACCAGAACCTCGAGCGACAACACGGCTCCCTCCGAGAAGCCCCACGCCAGCACCCCTAGGGCCCGCTCCAGAACCAGCTCCAGCCCGCTCCCCAGCACCCCCTGAAAGCACGAACCCCAGTGGCGGTGACGACGGCGGCTGTGGCTGCGGCGGCAGTGGCGGAGGCGGCTGCGGCTTGGACAGCAACGGCGGCGACAGGGGAGGCGAGACTGGTGCAGGGACAGGCAGGGGAAGAGTCTCCGCCAAGTCCCGGGAGTCAGCGGACTCTGCAGCAGGGACAACCGATGGGAGGGGGGTGACGTCAGACACACCAGACGGGGCAGGGCGGGGAGGGGGGGGGGACAGGGTCGACCGGGGAAGGGGGGGGGACCAGGAACTGGGGGGGAGTGACCGGAGGACCACAGTGGGGAAAGCGGTGGTAGAAGGAGACAGACTCGTCAAAAGTGACATCACGAGAGTGGAAGAAACGGTGAGAAGGCGGGTGGTAGAACTGCCAGTCAGACGAGTCAAGGGGGAAACCTAGGAAGACACAGAGGACAGTGCGGGCAGTGAGCTTGTCCGTGCCAGAGGCACGAACGTGAGCAAGGCAGCCCCAGACGTAGAATGCAGACTCGTCACCAGGAGACCCGGTCCAGAGGAGGGTCGGCGAAACCTGCAACCGCTGAGGGTGCGGCCAGAGGTTAAGCTGGTGAGCGACATAGCGAACGGCGAACGGCCACAAAAAATGGGGTGCATCGGCATGGATCACGGAGGTACGAGCCACCTCCATGACCAAACTGATGCGTCGCTTAGCGACCCCATTCTGCTACGGGGAGTCCGGCAGGTGAACGTCTGGGTGATGCCCTCCGCACGACAGAAGCGACCAAGGCAGGTAGAGGCGAACTCGCCACCACGGTCGGAGTGAAGACGCAAGACACGGAGACCTCGGTGAACACGCGCAGAGACAAGCCATCGGAGAAGAACGTTAGGCACGTCGGCCTTCTGCTCTAGGGGAAAGACGGTGGTGTAGCGGATGTACTCGTCGACAAGCACTAGGAAGTAGCGCTCGCGACGCGGCCCATGGACGGGGCGGGGCCCAGACGTCCATGTGCATGGTCTGCAGCGGTGCGGAGATAAGGGGAACGAGGAGGAGTAAGGGGCACGGAGGAAATGACCCTAAACGCAGGGAGTGCACGGAGGTGCGGGTGAGGAGGGGAGCGCAGGGAATGACTCAGGGAGGCCTAGGACAAGACGGTGTTGGGACATGTGACGGAGACGGGTGAGGGCGGGGTGACCTAGACGGTGGTGGCACAGAAGCGACAGGTGAGTAAGTGACCGACACGAGCACGCCGCAGCAACCTGGGAAGACCACTGGTACATGGGGAGGTGTCCAGACCGGGGGGGGACGCGGTGTCTAGTGTGAACAGGCCAGACACCGGGTCACGGAGTGAACGTGGGTGAGGGGGGGCACCGGTGGCGGCCTCGGTACAGACAGCGTACCGCTCGTGCCCAGGGAACGTGTGGTGACGCCAAGGTCCTGGAGGCATCCGACACCAACTAGGTTCCTAGAGAATGAGGGGATGTGCAGGCCTGTAAGGGAGCCTGAGGGAACTGCCGGACATGGGAGAGTAGTGGAGCTACGGGCAACTACATGACCGGAGGAAGGGTCTGCAAGAGCAGTTGCAGCAGGAGCGGGAAGCGGCTTAAGG